AGGAGAGGTAATGGACTCTGAGAATGACCTCAATGAACAGCAGGCAAAGCCACCAACCAAGACAAGAGTCAGATCAAAGAAGTTTCAGTCCAACGCAGGATTTGGTACCATAAACGAATTGTCTAATCATCTTCTCTGCACTCTGTCTTAAGTTTCAACCTCTTTTTTATATCATGACGACCAAAAGTGAAGGAGGCAGTCAAGACCAAGATTGGTAACCCAGAAGAAGTAGAAGGAGACTGACCAGCTGTGACCTACTCCTGCCCCCACCCCCACCCCCACCCCATCCATTAGTACATTAGGGGGAGATGCATTCCTCGCCTTCATGGAGGAGCTGGGAGCCAGTGGCTGCAGAGGCTGGTAGCATCCTTTTAGAATAGAATAGAGCAGGAAGGGACCTTGGAGGTCTTCTAGTCCAGCCCCCTGCTCAAGCAGGAGACCTTCTACCATTTCAGACAAGTGACTGTCCAGCCTCTTCTTTAAAAACCTCCAGGGATGAAGCGCCCACAACTTCTAGTGGCAGGCTGTTCCACTGGTTAATTGTCCTCACTGTTAGGAAGTTTGTCCTTAATTCCAGGTTGCTTCTCTCCTTGATGAGTTTCCATCTGTTGTTTCTTGTCCTGCCCTCTGGTGTTTGGGAGAATAATTTGACCCCCTCTTCCTTGTGGCAGCCCCTCAAATACTGGAAGATGGCTATCATGTCACCCCTAATTCTTCTTTTTTTTTCCGACTGGCCAAACGCAAATCCTGCAGCCGTTCTTCGTATGGTTTAGTCTCCAAGCCTTTGATCATCTTAGTTGCTCTTCTCCGCGCTTTCCCCAAAGATTCAACCTCTTTTCTGTGCTTCATGGCAACGAAGGGACGGCAGAGACAGGAAGTCATCTGACATTTGAGTTGCTTAGCAAGGCTTTTCCCCAACTGGGGATTCCCAGCTGCGCTGGGGCAAAAGCCGGGCCCCACTGGGAATTTTGGGGCCTGAAATCCCAGCAAAGGGTTGAAAGGCCAGGGGGCAGCAGTCCCTCGGGGGCCCTGACTTGCCTTCGGAGCCAGGGAGCTCTGCTTCTATTGCAAGTGGAAGAAGCAGCAGCTGGGAACAAGCCCTGATCCTTGGAGCCAGCGTCCACCGAGGGGGTCGGCTTGGATTCGGGACGAGGTGCGCTTCGTTCCCTGGAAAGTTCTCTGCTCATAAAAAAAAAAAAATACTAGCAGAAAAAATAATGAAATAGCAGAGTGGGAAGGGACCTTCTAGTTTAGGGGGTTCCCAACCAGGGATGAAATGCTACCGGTTCGCTCCGGTTCAGGCAAACTGGTAGTGATAAAAACTACCAGTTTGGGTGAACCGGTAGTTTAAAAAAGCTACCAGTTCTTGCGAACTGGTATTTCCGACAATCAGCTGTGCTGCGGGGTTTAGTTTTGCTAGAAAGCTGGAAATCCTGCTTTCTAGTAAAGCTAAATCGTGCGGCACAGCTGATTCCCCCCCTCACTGTTCTACTTACCTTTCCAAGCCTCTTATGGTGCGCAGCGCACATGCACGCACACACAGCGTGTGTTTGCCGTGCAGCGCACATGTGCGGTCAGAGAACTGGTAGCAAACCGGTTCAGATTTCACCACTGGCCCCAACCTCCGAGGCCGCAGCCCAGTACTGGGCCCTGGGCCCACTCCTTCTAGTCTCAACATCTTTTTTATATTATGGTGGCCAAAATTGGATGCAGGATTGCAAGTGTGGTCTTACCAAGTGGTGTTAACACGTGATCTTGATTCTATCCCTCTGTTAATGCAACCTAGGACTGTGTTGGCTTTTTTGGCTGCCGCCGCACACGGCTGGCTCATATTTAAGCGGTCATTCATCAAGACTCCCAAGATCCCATTCACAGGGATTACCATTGAGCCAGGTACCACAGTGGGTGGGTTCCTCCCGGTTCAGCCCGGTTCGGCCAAGCCAGTAGCAGTGACGATATGACATCACCGAACCGGTTCTCTTTGTTCGGGAGCTGGGCCCTCCCGCCCCCCCCGCATTATTCTTACCTTTTATTTGGCCCCACCTCCAATCTATTCGTTGCCTCCCGAGTCCCAGCTGATTGGCTAGAAGGAAAAAAACTGTTTAAAGTCTTGCCGCGGGACTTCAAAGGGCCGCCCTACAGCTGATCAGTGTTAAAAGGCAGTGTGGTGGTAGACCGGTGCCTCCAAAAACAAATGAGTAGACCGATGCCAGCAAAAACAAATGAGTAGACTGGTACAGCTCTGCAAGCAGTTAAAAGCCTGGTAGACCAGTACCTCTGCTAAATCCTAAAGAATTTTTTTTTTTTTTTAATTTGATTTATATGCCGCCCTTCTCCGGAGACTCAGGGCGGCTTACAATGCGCTAAGCAATAGCCTTCACCCTTTTGTATATTTTATACAAAGTCAGCTTATTGCCCCCACAACTGGGTCCTCAATTTACCTACCTTAGAAAGGATGGAAGGCTGAGTCAACCTTGAGCCTCGGCGAGATTCGAACCTGCAGTAATTGCAGGCAGCTGGTCTTAATAACCAGCTTAATAACAGGGTGCCTTAGACCACTGTACTACGAAGGCTCTTACATGACCCTTGTCACATGACCCTTCAAACCACGCCCACAAAATAAGCCACACCCACAGAACCGGTAGTAACAAAAATTAGAACCCACCCCTGTGTACCACCTATCCTGTACCTGAGCATTTGGGTTTTCTTGCCTAAATGCAGAACCTCCCTTTTGTCCCCCATTGGATTTTGTTTTGTTTTGGTTCTTTAAGGTCCAACTTTTCACAACCGTAGGTAGCTACGGGGGAAACGCAATAGAGCGGACTAACCTACGTTGCTGATGTCCTTGCTTTTCCCTGCATACTTCGCTTTCGGGGGGGGGGGGCGAGTGAGTGGGACAGACCTAATTGGCCCTATTTCAGGATGAAGTTTCACTGCAGGAGCCTGCCCACGTCCACAGATGGGCAAGGCACTCGACTTCCTGATGCTCCCACTTGTAATCTGACGCTTGGCAACTGGCCGTGCTCCATGGGGGACTAGGGAGAATTGTGGTCCCTTCCAAAGAAATCGCTCTTCGCTTTAAATGCCTTCCAGATGGTTTCATACTTGCACGGTGTCGTTTCACCACAGCGAGACAGGGGAGTTGAGAGGCAAACATAAACTTTCTTTCAAAAACGAGACTATTTCTGGAAAGGTTCACAACTGTGCGTTCCATCACTCCGACAAGAATAAGAGAATAACAGAGCTGGAAGGGACCTTGGAGGTCTTCTAGTCCAGCCCCCTGATCAAGCAGAATATCCTATACCATTTGAGGCAAATGGCTGTTCAATATCTTCTTAAAGACCTCCAATGTTGGAGGACCCACAACTTCTGGTGGCAAGGAATTCCACTGGTTAATTGCCCTCACTGTTAGGAAGTTTCTCCTTAATTCCAGGTTGCTTCTCTCCTTGGTTAGTTTCCATCTGTTGTTTCTTCTCCTGCCTTCTGGTGCTTTGGAGAATAGGTTCACTCCCTCTTCTTTGGGGCAGCCCCTCAAATACTGGAAGACTGCTATCATGTCATCCCTGGTCCTTCTGTTCATTAAACTAGACATACCCAATTCCTGCAATTGTGTGTTTTAGCCTCCAGTCTCCTAATTCTGGGGCATTGCTCAGAAAACATGCTTTCAAGCTTTCGGAGGTCACAGTGATCCTGACCGATTTGCACACTCAGCAGATGGATGCAGGACTGAAAAGAACAAAGGGGGGGAGGGGAGGTAGGAACATTTCAAGGAATAGTCTGACCCACACAGATGGATGCTAATTTGACATTGCGCATATGAAGAACGGTTGCATAAATTAGGTATGTCTAGTTTAATGAAAAGAAGGACCAGGGGAGACATGACAGCAGTCTTCCAATATCTCAGCGGCTGCCCCAAAGAAGAGGGGGTCAAGCTATTCTCCAAAGCACCTGAGAGTAGGACAAGAAGCGATATTGTGTTTCCCCAAAAGTAAGACCCTGTCTTATATTTTTTTTTGAACCCTGAAATAACCGCTTGGCCTTATTACCACGCACTCAAAAGCTCAGTTGGGCTTATTATCAGGGGATGTCTTATTTTGGGAGAAACAGGGTAGATAGAAACTAATTAAGGAGCGAAGCAACCTAGAACTAAGGAGAAATAAGTTAGAACAATTAATCAGTGGAACAGAAGTTGCCTCCAGAAGTTGTGGATGCTCCAATACTGGAAGTTTTTAAGAAGAGATTGGGTAACCATTGATCTGAAGTGGTGTAGGGCCGTGATGGTGAACCTATGGCACGCGTGCCACAGGCATCACGCAGAGCCATTTCTGCGGGCACGTGAACCGATGCCCTAGGTCAGTTCCACCGCTCGCGCATCCCACCGGCCAGCTGATTTTTGGGTCTCTGCCACACATGCGGGAGACACGCATACTTGCCCATGCCCGCCCCGCCCATCCCAGGAGTCTCCATGCGACCTGTTTTGGATGCCAGGTAAGTACAGGGCTCGCGTGGAGGCTCTGGGAGGGTGAAAAAGGGGCCTACTGGAAGTCTGGAAACAGGCCGTTTCTGGCCTCCGGAGGGCCAGGGGAGGCTGTTTTTGTCCTTCCAGGAGGCTCCAGGAAACCCTCTGGAACCCGGGGAGGGCAAAAAACTGGAAGTCTGGAAACGGGCTATTTTCAGCCTCTGGAGGCTTCAGGGAGGCCTGCTAGGCTCAAAACGGGGCACGGGGGGTCATGTGCACCTGTGCAGGGGATGGCGCAGTGCAGGGGGGCGGTCGTGCGTGGGGGGCATTGCATTATGGGTGTGGGAACGCATGCACGTGCACAAGCATTTTTGGCACCTGAGGGAAAAAAAGGTCAGCCATAACTGGTATAGGGTTTGCTGCCTAAGCAGGGGGTTGGACTAGATGACCTCCAAGGTCCCTTCCGATTCCGTTATTCTATTCTATTCCACTTTTGGACTCCCCCACCACCACAAAAAAAAAGAGAGAGAGAGACAGAAGGGAGGATTAAAGTCTTTAATGCTGAAAAGCAGACAGAAATTACCTTTAGAGAAGGAAGCCGCCGTGATCGTACAGAAAAACAGTGCTGGCCCCACACAAAAGCAGCTAATTTTCCCCATAACTGCATTGCCAAGAGGTTTTACCAATCGGTAAGCTCAGCTAAAGCCGCCCTCTGCTGTCCAACTCAGGGTATTACACCATCTGGCTTTTGTTTGTTTGTTTACCTTATTTTGTTTTGTTTTGTTTTGTGGCACGCGCCGAAGCTCGAGACACGAGCTTCCCTCCCTCCTCCCTCCCCCAGAAATCTCCCCGGAGTAGCTTAGCCAGGATAAATGAGCATTTAGAAGCATAAGCCAGTCCCTTTCTCAAGAGGTAGCCTCCCTTCTTTCTTCTTTGCACAACCAGGCCTGGCTGAAGATTTGTACTATCCGGGCTCTTCACGGAGACCCTTCAGACCCCACTCAGTCCGTCCCGTCACAGGAAAAGACCATCGGAAGAGAGGTAGGACCCCAGAAGTCATCCAAAGCTTGGCCGGACCCTGAATTGCCAAGGCCAAATGGTGAGAGTTGCATGGCAACCCCTAAAACCTACGTTGGGCCAAGAGAAGTCAGTTGAAGGCACCTGGCGATACTTTAATCAGGGCCACGTGGGAGCAATGGACAGAATTGAGCCCCACGGATCCACGGGAGATCCCGGTGGAAGCAAAGGTGTAGAGAAGGCACTAGAGCAGAGGTGGGGAGGAATCCAGTATCCCAGGAGGAAATCATGGGACAATCTGAAAACTATCACCATTGGAGGTCTACATGGCCATGTCCTACAAGAGAGCAGAGGGACACCTTGTTAGATCTTCTGCTTTGAGGGAATGACTCAGAGCTCCAATATATGTTGACCCCTCCTCATTTCATCTTCGTGAAGACCCCCAAAGCGAATGACTCAATTCTCAGCTCCCCCCAGGACGCAACCACTTCTCCAAGTGATTGGGGAAGGAAGCTTCGTAAGATGGGCTATTATCTCCTCTCTTCCAAGGACTCCCTCCCCCCCACCCCACCCCTTCTCTTCCTATGCAGCAGAAGCTTCGACAACGATTGTGGGAACGTTCACACCTCGTGCTGGCACCTCAGCAAGGTGGTCCTTTGGAAAGTGCCGAGGATGACAGGATGACGTGAGAAGGTCCCTTCCTGCCGGAGGTGCTTCTCAGTTGGGTTGATGAGCTTCTCAGTGGGGGGCCTTTGGGAAGCAGGAGGAGAACAACGTCGGGAGAAGGACCGAGATGGCCAAGATCAAAGCAAGTCCTGACCAACGGGGCCTGGGTCAAAGGCTTGCGGCCTCCTCGCTCTGTACACAGAGTTCCAAGGCACTTTTAATGGTCCAGATGTTGGACCCCGCTCTAGCCCACTACCCCACTACCGCATCACACACACAAATTCTCCTCTAGGTTTCCAGGTGGAGATGGGAAGCGACCGCCTCGTATCTTGGAGATTCAGGGAAAGGGGAGGCAAAGAAAAGGTGAGTCGGCTCTCTGGAGGTCATCTCCTAGCAATGGCACTGATCAAAAGAGCCACTGTGTGAATTTGGGTGTGTGAAAAAGCACACTTAGGCTCAAAACCCACAGTTTGGGCTCAAACGGGCAGTCACTCCCGCCCCATATTTTGCTCCTGAGCTCTACAGTGGGGAGTTGGGGATAGGGACGACGACAGCATCTTCTCTGGGACATGCCTTGATTCATCTCATGGCCACACAACGCACCTCAGTCTGTGTCTTCACAAGACACCCCCTCGCCCGCAGGAAGACAGAACGGGGATGGGGGGGGTTTCTGGTCCGTTGGGTTTGTGTTAGGGATTGTGCATGCAAGATCAAAGATTCGAGAAAGGCAGCTGAGGTCACGCAAAAGCTTTGAAGCCCACCTTGGGTATCTGATGGTGGGGAAGGGAGGAGGGAATCTAGAAAGAGCCTCCTGGCCAGAAGCAACCTGGAATGGTAGGGGAACCTCAACCCACTGGAGAAGGACATTCCTGAATCCTTGTATTAGCTGGGCGGGGGTGCATTTCCTAGGGAGGGCACAATACCTCTCGCTCACCCCCACCCCCAGCCAGGATTTTCCTCCCGTAGATGGAGCTCAAGAGTTCATCTTGAAAAGGACCAAACTCTGCGGTCCTCCTGGCTGCCCATGACTCCACCCTCAGCCATCCTGGAGGGTTTCTTCTCTCTTCCGGAGTCATCATCAAAGGAGAACAGCAGGTAGGGTGGCTTGGAAAGTTCAGAAGAACTTCAGAAGAAAGGGAGGGGGGACTGGTGTGGGGTCCTGGGGTCTCTCTGAACTTGTTTTCCCGTAGATGTTTCATGACCCAACTAGCTAACATCATCAGTGCTAGAAGGGAGTGGGGAGGAGGAGCAGGAGGAGCAGGAGGCTGAGAATCCAAGCCAACTTCTGGCCTCCCAACAGAGCCAAATCTGGGGAAATCTTGGCTAAGGATTCTACCGTTCCCGATGTTCTCCTTAGATGCCAGAAAGCTCATCTCAACCATCATCATGGCCTCCTTGCCTGGTGGGCTACAGATACAAGCGGGAGGACTTTTCCTGGGATCTCCTGCAACTCCAGGAGGCAGACACGATGGTGCCTGGAGACAGGGACTGGAGGGGCCTGGATTCTCCTGGGCTCTCCTGGAGAACGTGGCCAACTGACTGGACGTCACCCGGCCTTCTTTCCTCTGGGCACGGTCTCTCCTGGGCCGGGCTGGGGCCGCTGGCTGGGCAAAGGCTTCCCTTTGAAACCAGAAGACCTCCACGGAGGGTCTTCTTCCAACATCTCAGCCGGGCTGGAGGGCTGCAGAGAAAAGCGCTGAGCATTCAAAGAACCGGGGGTGGGGGAGCCCGGCATGGGTGGAAACGGTCTGGAGAAGCACAGCTGGGACGGGGCCTTTCACTTCCGCTTGGGCTCCGCCTGCTGCAGGCGCCGGGAGAGATCGTCGATCCGGACGTTCTTCAGGTGCAGCAGGTGTTCCAGTCGACGGATTTTCATCTGCAGAATCTAAGAGGTTGTAGAGGGTCTTGGCTGAGCAGGGGGTTGGACTAGAAGACCTCTAGGGTCCCTTCCTCTATCCTGTTCTGTTCTGTTTCATTTCTATTTCTATTTCTATTACTTCTATTTCTATTATTTCTATTTCTATTTCTATTTCTATTACTTCTATTTCTATTTCTATTATTTCTATTTCTATTTCTATTTCTATTTCTATTTCTATTATTTCTATTTCTATTTCTTCTATTTCTATTTCTATTTCTGTTCCAATTCCATTCTTTTCTATTCCATTCTTTCCTCAGAAGCAGCAGCTCAAGGACCCAAGACCCCCGTGGCCCCTGAAAACCCGAGGGGCCCTTCCTCCTTCCTCGTGAGATGCTGCTTTCTAACCGTCCAGGCAACTCTTGGCCAAGAGCTCTTCCTCCACGGAGAAAGAAGGGAGGATTTGGCTAATACGGGCACTCCTCACAGCTGAGCCCAACATTTCCGTCACTAAGCGAGACAGTTGAGGAATGAGTTTTGCCCCACGTCATACAACCTTCCCTGACACAATCCCTGCGATTAATCACAAGGGTTGTTGTTCAGCGAATCCATCGAGTTTGCTTGTTGGAAGGTCGCCAAAGGGAGGGTCACGTGACCCCCCCGGGACACCCCGACCGTCATAAATACGAGACAGTGGCCGAGTGTCTGAATTTTGGTCACGCGATAGGACTACAACTCCCTGTTTCCCACTTTCAAGCCTGGTGTTGTGGCCTGTTGGCCGCCTGCCCCTTCAGCAGCCGAATCAGAGGAGGAGGAGGAGGAGGAGGAGGAGGAGGAGGTGTGGGAGTCAAAGTCAGCATCAAGGCAACCTGGGAGCTCCAAGGGGGAAGAGGGAATGGAGCTGGGGGAGAGAGAGACAGAGGCAGAGCCTGGGCTGTCTGTCAGCCATCAGATGGAGAGTCAACAGCCCCCAGGTCCGGAGGTGGCTGATGAGGAAGAGGAGGAACAGCTGGGTCCAGTGCCTGATGCACAGAAGGCAAGAGGAGAGGAGAGCAGTGGAAATCTATGGGCTGGTCCTTGGGACGGATGAGCCACTGCTGCTAGCGAGGCCCCACCCTATCTCTGGGGATAAAAGAGAGGGGGCAGAGATGAATAGATGTGGCAGATAACTATTCATCTTCCGGATGGACGGACTTGTTAGCCTGCGGTGAGAAGGAGACTTTTTGCCGGGGCTGCCGGCGCTCTTAATAAAAGAATCTTTGAGTTAAATTCAGAGGATTTCTCATGTTTGGGGAGCTGGGTCAGGACACCTGGTGCTTTAACCACTAGACCCAACTGCCGCTCTCCCGTCACTTTCTCTCCCTCTGTTGGGATGATTGTCCCCGCAGAGACCTCCGGAAGTCTCTGCCCTCGGCCAGTGTGGGGAAGCCGAGAGGGCCGGGCGACCCCCAAGATGTGGGGAGAGGGAGGTGGCTGAGCCAAGCTCCCTTGCCATCAATGGGTGCCGGGTGGGATGCATCTTGGCCTCACCTGGATGGTCTCCTGGGAAGCCAGCAGGGCCTGTTCCCGCTCGGCCAGGTGCAGACGCAGGTTGGCATCCGTTTGCAGAGGCACCGGGTAGCCCGTCTGTCCCTTCAGACCCCTGCAAGTGGAAGATGGTTATAGGGAGCAGAACGTCCCCCAAATTGTGGACTTCCACCCCATTGCATGGAGGGAAGACACCCCCCCCCGGCAGAGCTTCCCCTTCCTCATCCTGGGGAACCGAGTTCAAGATTCTCCAGTCAGAGGAAGAAGGACGGCCATTTTCTCCTTTCCTGATGTTTGATAGACATCTCAGCCTGGCTCTTTTCGCTGCCATGAAACGGCCTGAAACCGACTTTAGAGGCATCTAGTGGCAAGGAGTTCCATCTGCCACCAGCTTTCCCTGGAAGAAGTCCTGGGAAGCTGTGCAGAATCCAGCCGTCCCTCCGTCTTCATCTGCCTGTCTCTCCCTCAAGGACATTCGCCTGCGGCCTGCTTTACAGGTAGTCCTCGACTTACAACCGTTCGTTTAGTGACCGTTTTGAAGTCGCAACAGCACTGAAAGAAGTGACATGGCCGTTTTTCACACTTAATGGCCGTTGCAGCATCCCGGGGGGGTCACACGATCCCCTTTTGCGACCGTCTGACAAGCAAAGTCAAGGGGGAAGCCGGATTCACTTAACAACCGGGTTGCCACCTTAACAGCTGTGGCGATTCGCTTAGCAACGGTGGCAAGAAAGGTCGCAAAACGGGGCAAAACTCACTTAAGAACCATCTCGCTTAGCAACAGAAATCTGGGGCTCAACGGCGGCCGTAAGTCGGGGACTACCTGTATTTCGCAGCTCTGATTTCCCTGGGCTGCAATTCAACAGGGCAGAAAAGGAGAAAAGTGGCCCCTCGAATGTCTCCCCCCCACCTGCCGGATTCTTGGGTCAGGGGTTCAAAGACCCCCACCTCAAAAGAGGACAACCTCAGGTACTCACCTTTCTGAGGCAGGAGAGTCCTTGGTGTAACCTCCGGTGCTGTTGGGCATGGACTTCGAAGTGTAGCCTGTGAAATGCCAAAAAGAGATTTAACGGGAGGAGGAGGGGGCTCCCAAGAGAGCCCATTCGGCACCCCGTAGCTGTAGAGGTAGGTCAAAGGTCATAGTGTCATAGACCAGCCCACTGCCTTAGCTCATGCCTATGACCTCATTTTGGCTCTGATCTGTATTATCTCATCTCACCTAGAGAGGATGGCACCTTGAGAGGGGGGTGAATAGTTTGTCCAATTAGAACACTGTTGCTGTCCTGCCTTTTTATCTGCCTGGGTAAAACTGTATAAAAAATAAAGCTCTCTGTAAGAGCAGGAGAGACATCTTTGATCGGAGCAAAAGCCTGGACCTCTGATTTACAACACGTATCTATAAGTCAGAATTCCCCAGGGACTTCTCAGCCATTTGCCTGAAATGGTAGAGGGTTTAATGCCTGAGCAGGGGGTTGGACTAGAAGACCTCCAAGGTCCCTTCCAGATCTACTCTAATTCTATCCTATTCCATTCCATTCCATTCCATATTTTCTTTTCTATTCTATTCTATTCTATTCTATTCTATTCTATTCTATTCTATTCTATTCTATTCTATTCTATTCTATTCTATTCTATTCTATTCTATTCTATTCTATTCCATTCCATATTTTCTCTTCTCTTCTCTTCTCTTCTCTTCTCTTCTCTTCTCTTCTCTTCTCTTCTCTTCTCTTCTCGATTAATTCTATTCTATTCTATTTAATATTATTCTATTCTATTCTAATTTTCTTTCTATTTTTTATTCTATTCTAATTTTCTTTCTATTTTCTGTTCTGTTCTGTTCTGTTCTGTTCTGTTCTGTTCCCTTCCCTTCCCTTCCATTCCATTCCATTCCATCCCATATTTTCTATTCTATTCTATTCTATTCGATTCGATTCGATTCGATTCCATTCCATTCCATTCCATTCCATTCCATTCCATTCCATTCCATTCCATATTTTCTCTTCTCTTCTCTTCTCTTCTCTTCTCTTCTCTTCTCTTCTCTTCTCTTCTCTTCTCTTCTCTTCTCTTCTCTTCTCGATTAATTCTATTCTATTCTATTTAATATTATTCTATTCTATTCTAATTTTCTTTCTATTTTTTATTCTATTCTAATTTTCTTTCTATTTTCTATTCTGTTCTGTTCTGTTCTGTTCTGTTCTGTTCTGTTCTGTTCCATTCCATTCCATTCCATTCCATTCCATTCTCCCTGCTTCCGGACCCTCTTTTCAGCCTTTAAAGAGGCACCTCGGGGTCTTTCTACCGCACACATTTATCTATTTTTAAAATTTTATTAATTAGATTTTTATCCCGCCTTTATTACTTTTATATGTAACTCAAGGTGGGCGAACCTACCTAATATTCCTTCCTCCTCCTGTTTTCCCCACAGCGACAACCCTGTGGAGGTGGGTTGGGCTGAGAGAGTGAATGGCTGGCCCAAAATCACCCAGCCGGGTTTCATGCCTAAAGTGGAACTAGAACTCATCACCTCCTAAGATATCCAGCTGGCTTTATGCCTGAGGCAGGACTAGAACTCACCGTCTCCTGGTTTCTAGCCTGACGCCTTATCCCAAGGGTGTCAAAACACGAGGCCCATCGGCCTGATGTGTCACTCACTGGCCACGCCCACCCCAGTTTAGCGAAGGGTGTTAAAGTCACGATACGTCACATGACAACAGCGTGATGACACGCGGATGCACAGAAGGCAGAGGAGAGGAGAGCGGTGGAAATCTATGGGCCGGTCCTTGGGACGGAAGAGACACCGCTGCTAGCGAAGCCCCACCCTGGCTCTGGGGATAAAAGGCAGGGGGTGGAGATGAATAGATGTGGCAGGCTTTTTGCCAGGGCTGCTGGCGCTCCTAATAAAGGAATCATTGATAACACGTCAAACTATAGAGCAGTGATGGCTAACCTTTTTGCTATCGCGTGCCAACAGCAGGGGGAGTGCGGGGGGGGGTCACACACGCGGGTGCCCACACTCATAATTCTATGCCCCATGCCCCCTGCGCATGCATGTGACCCCCCCCGTGCTCCCCCCACTTTTGGCATGTGATGGCACGTGGGCCCGGTAGGCCCATTTTTCGCCCTCCCCAGGCTACAGAGGCTTTCTAGGAGCCTGGGGAGGGTGAAAACAGCCTTCCCCACCTCTTCAGAGGCTCTCCGGAGGCCGGAAACAGCCTGTTTCCTTACTTCCGGTGGGCCCAGAAGGCCCCAAAATCAGCTGGCCAACACGCACAGGCACGCCGGAGCTGAGTTCACATGCCCACTGATATGGCTCTGCGGGCCACCTGTGGCACACATGCCATAGGTTCGCCACTACGGCTATAGAGGGTTTGTCGTGTTTGGGGAGGTGGCTCAGAACAGCCCATCTTTGCTCTTCGTGCCCTTACCTGTTTCCATGTAGTTGTTCTCTTCCACAATGGCACGCATGCCCAGGTCCTGTTTCAAGAGAGAGAGGAAGAGAGGCTTGCACATCGAACGCTACGGACCCCCTCCTCTTTCCCTCCCTGCTCCGCCCTTTTCTCAACCTGCCATTCCGGAAAGAGTCTCCTTGCAAGATCACAGAAGTCACAGAAACAGACCGGTGCCCTGGCCTGCGTGGAAAGCCCATGAAGGCACGGAAGCCTGGAAGCGCTTGTCTTGAGAGGGGGCCTTGAAGGCCAGAGCAGAGATTTCCAGGCAGCAGTTTTTTTTCCAACGGAAGGGGGTTTATTGCCCTTCAGGCAGTCCTCGATGTACGGCCACAATTGAGCCCAACATTTCTGTTGCTGAGTGAGACAGTTGCTAAGTGAGTTTCGTCCCCCCGGGTGACGGGCTTCCACGCCGCAATTCTGAAGGTCCCTTCCAACTCTATTATTTTATGTTCTATATTCTAAATGTGGTGACTCACTTAACAAGAGAGGTCGTAAGATGGGGCAAAAATTGCTTCACAAGTGTCTTGCTTGGCAACAAAAATTTGGGGCTAAGTTGTGGTCGTAAGTCCAGGGCTGCCTGTATGTGTCGCCTGGATTTCAGGACCCTGGAGAGCTCTTCCTGGAAGTCCGCGTTGCCTTGTCCCGCCCAGACAATGCTAGAATAAATACTGTCAGGACCTGTCAAGAGGTGGCAATTTGATTTTGATGCGATGCACAAGGGCAGGTAACATCCTCGATTTACAACAGTTCATTTAGTGACCATGTGAAGTGACAAGAGCGCTGGAAAAAAGGTGACTTTTTCACATGACCGTTGCATCATCAACACCTAGTCAAAATTCGGACGTTTGGCAACTGACTCGTATTTATGACGGTCGCAGTGTTCCCGGGGTCACGTGATCCCCTTTTGCGACCTCCTGACAAGCAAAGTCAAGGGGGGAAGCCAGATTTGCTTAACAACCGTGTCACTAACTTAACAACCGCAGGGATTCACTTAACAGCTGTGGTAAGAAAGGTTGTACAAAGGGGAAAAACTTACTTAACAAGTCTTTCGCTTAGGGTTTTGGGGCTCAATTGTGGTCTCCATGGAAATTGTGGACTCGACTGTGGTCATAAGACGAGGACAACCTGCATTGGTCAGTGAAGGGTCTCCAAATTCAGTAACTTTAAGACTTGTGGGCTTCGACTCTCTGTGCTGGCTAGGGGATTCTGGGAGTTGAAGCCCACTCATCTTAAAGCAGGCTGGCAAGGAATTCTGGGAGTTGGAGTCCACCCATCTTAAAGCAGGCTGGCAAGGAATTCTGGGAGTTGGAGTCCACCCATCTTAAAGCAGGCTGGCTGGGGGATTCTGGGACTTGGAGTCCACCCATCTTAAAGCAGGCTGGCTAGGGAATTATGAGACTTGGAGTCCACCCATCTTAAAGCAGGCTGGCTAGGGGATTCTGGGACTTGGAGTCCACCCGTCTTAAAGCATGCTCGCTGGGGGATTCTGGGAGTTGAAGTCCACCCATCTTAAAGCAGGCTGGCTGGGGGATTCTGGGACTTGGAGTCCACCCATCTTAAAGCAGGCTGGCTGGGGGATTCTGGGAGTTGAAGCCCACTCATCTTAAAGCAGGCTGGCTGGGGGATTCTGGGAGTGGAAGTCCACCCATCTTAAAGCAGGCTGGCTAGGGAATTATGAGACTTGGAGTCCACCCATCTTAAAGCAGGCTGGCTAGGGAATTATGAGACTTGGAGTCCACCCATCTTAAAGCAGGCTGGCTAGGGAATTATGAGACTTGGAGTCCACCCATCTTAAAGCAGGCTGGCTGGGGGATTCTGGGAGTTGAAGTCCACCCATCTTATAGCATGCTCGCTGGGGGATTCTGGGACTTGGAGTCCACCGGTCTTAAAGTTGCCAAGTTTGGAGACGCCTGGTCCAGGTGTGACCCTCTGAAGCATCCCTTTTGAAGAAGTGTTTATTTTTTCCTTAAAACAAGCAGCATCTGTCAAGACCGGCCCCGCCCTGCCCCACCTGTCTCGTGGCTTGGATTCAGACAGACAGACAGAGAGAGGAAAAGCAGCAAGGTGTATCTCCAGGCAGGTAAAAAGGAAGGTGGCGAAAGGCAGAAACCTGGGGCATTGGAGTCGGGAAGGAGCAAAGGCTGCAGCCGCCCAGAGGAGTTGGTGGCCGGTCCTGGAAAGAAGCAGAAGAGGAAGGAAGGGAGGTGTAAAAAGAAAAAAGAAAAAGAAAAAAGAGAGAGAGAGAGAGAGAGAGAGGGTACGTTTGCCATTATTCCCCCTCCCATCAGTCCTTCAGGTTGGATTCAGAGAGCTCCTCAATTGGGAGGGACCTTCAGACCGTCCTTGATACCCCGGTTATTTCATAGCTTGACTACTGCAACAGTCTCTACATGGGGCCGCCCTGGGAGATGACTTCCCAGTGCTAAAATACGCGTCTCCTGCTGTCTTGAGGCTGAAAAAGGGCCACCTGGTTTCAAGGCATGGATCCCTGTGGGTGGATCTCCATGGATCTCCTGCTCGGACGGTGGGGATCTCCTCTACGGGAGATCCAGGTCGAAACCAAGAGAGGTGAGACATCAGGCTGAAAGCTGTTTGCGTGTTTCTGCTTGAAGGACTTGCGCCGTACGATATGGGTAGTCCTTGGCTTACAACCTTTTGTTAAGCGGCCATTCAATGTTACAACGGCACGTGACTTAGGACTCCCTTTTCACACTTACGACCATAGCAGCATCCTCAGGATCACGTGATCCAAATTTGGATGCTTGGCAACAGACTCGTATTTATGACGGCTGCAGTGTCCTGGGGTCACTTAACCACGGTGGCAAAACCGTTATAAAATGGGGCAAAATTCACTTAACAACGGTCTCGCTTAACAAAAGAAATTTTGGGCTTGATTGTGGTCATAAGTTGAGGACTATCGACTGTCCATAATGAGAGGGTTCTCTTCTTCAAGCCCTTTGGAACAAATAGGAGTGACCCTGGTAAAGAAGATTCCATTTAGGTGGAATCCTTCCTCTTTTTTCATACACTTTTTTTAAAATAAAAATATCCTTGGGTTTGTTTTCCAGATCTCTGCTCTCAGGTTTTGCATCTTAAAGTATGCTGGCTGGGAATTATGGGAGTTGAAGTCCAACTTAAAATATACTGACTGGGGGATTCTGGGAGTTGAAGTCCATATATCTTAACCATGCTGACTAGGGAATTATGGGAGTTGAAGTCCACCCCTCTTAAAGCAAGCCGGCTGGGGAATTCTGGGAGTTCAACATCAAGAGCCTTGATAGTACAGTGGTTTAGTGCACCCTGTTATTAACACAGCTGCCTGCAATTTCTGCTGGTTCGAATCTCGCCAGGCTCAAGGTTGACTCAGCCTTCCATCCTTTCTAAGGTAGGTGAAATGAGGACCCAGTTTGTGGGGGCAATAAGCTGACTTTGTATAAATATACAAAAGGATGAAGGCTATCGCTGAGCACATTGTAAGCCGCCCTGAGTCTCCGGAGAAGGGCGGCATATAAATCAAATTAAAAAACAAAAGAAAACATCAGAGGTCAACGTTTGCTCAACTGACCCTCGCCTCGTCCACGTTCTACTGACCTGGTAAGAGTTGGTGGACATCTTGGCTTGCTTCTGCTTCTCCTCAATCTTCTGTCTCAACGGGATCAGCACCAACTCCACCACTCCAGGGGTGCACTGCGCAATCTTCCGGACGATGTCTTCGGGAATGGAAAAATTCAATTTGCTCAACACTTTCCTGAAAAAGAGGCGAGGAACGGAGCACTCACACAACCCCCTTTCTGGTCACTGGTGTGTTCAGGATTTGGCACACCCAGAAAGAGGCAGACGGAGACCCTTCCCATACGACAGAGATCTTGGCCCACTGGGAATAATAATAATTAAAAAAATTAGGTAGTCTTCGACTTACGGCCACCATTGGGCCCCAAATTTCTGTTGCTAAGCGTGTCCTTTGTTAAGTGAATTGTGTCCACGATCTTTCTTGCCACGGTTGTTAAGTGAATCTGGCTTCCCCATTGAGTTTGCTTCTCAGAAGATTGCAAAAGTTAATTAATTACAGGGCCCCCCCCGGACGTTGCAACTGTCATAAATATGAGTCAGTTGTCAAGTCTTCAATTTTGATCGTGTGACCATGGAAATGCTGCAACGAGCGTGAACGACGGTTCCGTTGCAACCTTGGAATGGTCACTAAATGGACTGTTGTAAGTCGAGGAGTACCTTTTCCCATTTAACTTTTTAATTAGTTTATCGAAGTATAAAATAGGAAGGAAAAAAAAAAGCATGGCAAAGTAAGAAGAGAGGGAGGGGAAAAGAAGGGAGGTAGTGTAACGGGAGAAAAAACGAAAAGAACAGCGCAGTAGAAGGTAACAACAATACAGACAACAATACAGCCACAACTTTTTTGCTTTTACCCAACAGCATGGACAAGCCATCTCTAGAAAAACGAGCGTGTCTAGTTTACAAAATCAAAATCAAAGTTTCATTCCCCACTGAAGCAGTTTCAAAACAAAGACAAAATTAAATATATTCTCTTCTTTGGATACAAAAAAAAAATCAGTGTAACCCTCTCTGCTTCTCTTTGTTGTGGGGGGGATCATATATCATTACTTCTCGTATTTTCAAATCTAGGCAATACTATTTTACAAACTTTGGAATATTATTCAGCATTACTGTTCTGACCCAGCTCCCGAAACATGACAAACCCTCTGAAGTTAAATCAATTTATTAGGAGTGCCAGCAGCCCTGGCAAAAAGTCTGCCATATCTATTCATCTGCCTTTTATACCCAGAGATAGGGTGGGGCTTTGCTAGCAGCAGTGGCTCATCCGTCCCAAGGACCGGCCCATAGATTTCCACTGCTCTCCTTTCCTCTGCCTTCTGTGCATCCATACATCAGGCACTGGACCCAGCTGTTCCTCCTCTTCCTCATCAGCCACCTCGACCTTGGATTCTCCATCTGAGGGCTGACAGACGGCCCAGGCTCCACCTGTCTCTCTCTCTCTCTGCCAGCTCCATTCCCTCTTCCCCCTCGGAGCTCCCAGGTTGCCTTGATGCTGATCCTGACTCCCACGTCTCCTCCTCTTCCTCCTCCTCCTCCTCCTCGTCCTCGTCCTCCTCTGATTCGGTTGCTGGAGGGGCCGCAGCCAACAGGCCACAACAATTACTTAAAGAACCTGAGGACCTGCATTTACATATGTGCTCATTTTATATATACAAAACTAAGGACTACTTGCGTGTAGATCAATATTCACATCAATATTCACACAGAGAAGAGGGTTACAAGGCAGGGCCCCATGGACAACAGCCAATCTCCATCAGTCTGGGGTGGGGGATTCCAAACGCTGGCTTTACCTGTAAAATACTGACCTGTTCAGGTGTGCCCAGTTGGAGAGCTTCTGTTGTGTGGAATTAGCTGGAGCGTAATTGTGCATTTCCACCATTTTGGGAAAATAAAACTTCACCACCTCGGCCACCAGAACTGGATGGGCGATAAAAAGAAGGAAGTCCTTGACATACAACTGGAATGGAATCTGTCCATTACGGTTGCCGAGCGAGACAGTGGTTAAGTGAAATTTGTTCCGTTTTACGACCTCTCTTGTCACCGTTGTTAAGTGAGTCACTGCAGTTGTTCAGTTAGGAACATGACTGTTAAGTGAATCTGGCTTCCCCACTGACTTGGCTCGTCAGAAGGTCGCAAAAGTGATGACGTGGCCTTGGGACACTGCGACCGTCATAAATATGAGTCAGCGTCTGAAATTTGATCATGTGACGATCGGGATGCTGCAATGGTTGTAAGTGTGAAAAACGGTCATAAGTCACTTTTTTCAGTGATGTTGTAACTTCGACCGGTCACTAAATAAACTGTTGTAAGTCAAGAAATATCTGTGCAGCTAGTCCTTGACTTACAACAGTTCGTTTAGTGACCATTCAAAGTTACAACAGCCCTGAAAAAAATGACTTAGGATCATTTTTCAGAGTTAAGACCTTTCCAGTATCATGGGATCAAAATTCAGAGGCTTGGCCACTGACTCGTATTTACGACAGTCCCAGTGTCCCAAGGGTCACGTGATCCCCTCTTGCGATCTGACCAGCAAAGTCAATGGGGGAAGCCAGATTCACGTTAACGACCGGATTACTAATTCATCAACTGCAGTGACTCACTTAACAACTGAGGCAAGAAAGGTCGTAAAATGGAGCAAAACTCACTTAACAAATGTCTCCCTTAACAACAGAAATTTTGGGCTCCATTGTGGTCATAAGTCGAGGACGATATTCCCACCCTCTCCTTGTCCTAATTCAAAGGCCATGAAAGGTGAGTGGACTTCAACTCCTGGAATTCTCAGCAGTGGCAACCCTGGCTGGGGAATTCCAGGATTTGAAGTCCATAAACCAAGTTTGGGAAACCCTGTCGAATTCTTCCAGGACATCCCCTGCGGAGGCTCTGGAGCTTGCAAGAACCCCTGAGGGTCCCCCGGGGGTCTTTCCCATCGCTGCAGACCCCCACTGGCCAAGACCCTCCTTGCACAGGTGCTTACGCAGAGCTCTCTACCCCAAGGACCATCCTTTCCATCCACTGACCCAAAGGAAGGGGCTGGATATTGGTAGGGGGTGGAAGGGGAACAGGGACCCCAGGTGGCTAAAAGGGGAGGGGTCTCCAGGGTGCTTCCGATTTCTGCAACAGTTGGGGCCAACCAACCCCAACCGGGCGCCCTCCAGAGAAGATGCAGGAAAAATGGCCATCTCTGGAGGGCGCCCGGTTGGGGATGGGGGCTCCCAAAACTCACGCCCCTTCCCCTCCCCCCACCCAAACCTCCATCGCTGAAGTCGCGGGTGATGTTCCTCTTCGGGCGGGAGAGAGGGATGCCATCCACCCAGCTGTAGAGGTCATTCAGACTCTCCTCGTCCAGATCACCGTGGGCCATGGTGCCTCTGCCCGGGGCTGCCACGCTTCTTCCTAGCCAGCACCGCCAGGGGCGGCCATATTGTTTGCATGGGCAGCCATGGCAACCCCAGCCTCTCTACTCCCCCCCCTTCCATCTCAGGAGAGGCATTGTGGGAGCCGTAGTTCTCTCCGGCTCCTAGCAACCACAGCTACCACAACAGGGTTGCTAGGCAACCGGTGCATCCTAGCAGCAGTGGGCATCCGAGGCTCCCTCCCTCTGGGAGAAGGAGCGGAAGGACCCTTCCTGGACCCATGGGTCTCTGGAGCGGTGGGCACAGGTGTGGACGACAGGGCCCATGATTCCCAGCCGTTCTGGGAGCAAGAGGAAGAGACTGCTTTGGGAAAAAATAAAAAGAAAGACTGGGCACCTTGCCATGATGTCTCTACCAGGTGGAGCAGCCCCTGCAAAAAGTTCTTCCTAAGCAGGGCTGCACCTGTTGAATTTCTACCTGCTTTATTTCGTTATTCTGGTTTTGAATCCATGCGGAACCAACAGAAACATCCATAAGGATTAAAGCATTCTTAGGGAATGTAAACATATGAGAAAAGGTAGTTAGGCCTCGACCTACCAGCCCAAAATTTCCGTTGCTAAGCTACACAGCCGTTAAGTGAGTTTTGACCCATTTTACGACCTTGCTTGCCACATTTGTTAAGTGAATCGCTGCCGTTGTTAAATTAGTCACACGGTTGTTAAGTGAATCAGGCTTCCTCATTGACTCAGCTTGTCAGAAGGTCACAAAAGGGGATCACGTGATCCCGGGATACGGCGACCGTCATAAATACGAGTCAGTTGCCCAAGGTCTGAATTTTGATCATGTGACCACGGGAATGCTGCAATGGTTGTTAAGTGTGAAAAACGGTCGTAAGTCACTTTTTTCAGTGCTGTTCTAACTGAACGGTCACTAAATGAACTGTTGTAAGTTGAGGACTGCCTATATATAGTTTACACCAGTGTTGGCTGGGGGATTCTGGGAGTTGAAGTCTACCCATCTTCAAGCTACCAAGGTTGAGAAATACTGGTTTACATTATTTTATTTATTTGATTAAGACAGGGGACTACAGGACGAAGAATGGTTGTGCTGTATTTTGCTATTAAAATTGTTTTTTTTTTTTTATTTGCTGGGATGAAGGAGAAATTTTTTCCTTCTTTCTTTTTTGCACTTTCTGTTGGCATCTGTTTGACATTTCTGTCGTTGGTTTCTTTCATTTACAATTCCTACAATATACATACATATATATATATATATATATTTGCAGCAGATGCCAACAATCCCTTTGGCTGCCAGAAAAATCCCAGAAGGCTTCAAGAAAAGAAAAGAAAAAATATTTTCTGCATCATTCATAGCAGGAGCTTGAATCCTGTCATTATTCCCTCTGCTTTGTGTCTGCAACACAAAATGTTGGCAGGCAGGCAGGCCTCTGCTTGTCATACCTCACAATTGCCTCGCCCAGCACATTTTTCCCAGGTTCTCTCTCACGTGTAGACAGGGTGGGCCCCCAAAATCCATTTGCTTCAGAACCTCCCGGTATCAAACAAATTAAATTCAGGGGCCCTTTACTCAAGAAACCCCTGGAGATATTTCACAGAAGACATAATTAATCCCTGCATGGGGATTAATTATTGAGATTAATGAAGCTAGAGGCAGCAGCCATTTTCCTCTAATCTACAGATGCTGCTTAGAAAGAAATAATGCTCGATTCGTTGGAAGACATCTGGCTCCTTATCAAAGGGCTCCGATTTCCCACAAAGTGGATTATGTTCCAGATTAAGCACCCAATCCCCGTTTCTCCCTTTTTTGTAGAAAATCAGCAGCGATTTAGAAGAGCTGAATGAGAAGCGGCTTTACTATGATGTGAATTCCCCCCTCAGGGCAGCCATTTTTGGCAATTGTAAAAGCAACTCTGTGTATGTGTGTGTGTGTGTGTGTGTGAGAGAGAGAGAGAGAGAGAGAAAGAGACTTGTGCACGTGTGAGAGAGGTGTGTCCATGTGCGTGAGAAATGTGGGTGTGTGAGAGACTTGTATGGACGTGAGAGAGGTGTGTTTCTGTGTGAGAGAAATCTGTTCATGGGTAGAGACTTGTGTGCGAGGTGTGTGTGTGAGATTTTGTGTTATCAGAGAGGCGTGTGTGTATGCGTGACCGAGTCTTGAGTGCACGTGAGAGATGTGTGTATACATCAAAGGCTTGTGTATGTGTGTGAAAGAGAAAGGTGTGTATGTGAGAGGCTTGTGTCATGTGAGATGTGTTTGTGTGAGAAATGTGTATGACGTGTGAGAGAGAGAGGTGTGTATGTGTGTGATGGAGAGACTTGTGTGTGTGAGGCTTCTGTGTGAGAGACGTGTGTGCATGTGAAAGACATTGTGTATGTGTGGGGGGGAGAGACGTGTGTGTGTGTGTGTGATGATTCTGTGTGAGAAGTGTGTGTGATACTTGTGTGTGAGGTATGTATTTGAGATGTATGTCTATGTGTGAGTGAGACTTGTGTGCACGTGAGAGAGGTGTGTATATAGATCGAAAGCCTTGTGTGTGTATATGTGTGAGAGGTGTGCATGTGCGTGACGGAGTGACGTATGTGTGTGTGAGAGGCTTCTGTGGGAGAGACATGTGTGTCAGACATGTGTGCGCATGTGAGACATTGGGGGTGTATGTGTGTGAGGAAGAGACGTGTGTGTGTGTGAGATGATTTATGTGGGAAAAGTGTGTGTGAGACACGTGTGTGTGTGTGTGTGTGTCTGAGAGAGAGAGAGAGAGAGAGATGAGACAGAGCGATGTACCCCTTTGGGGTGGCCGTGTCTTGGCATGGGACCACCGGAGGATCCTGCTAGGCCCTGAACCTGATCCCTGTCAGTCAAGGCGAGACCCTCCCTCCATGACGCACCCCTGATTAGCTCCCTCTCTGCAGCCACGTCCGGCTGTCGGTGGCCTGGCTGGAGCCGCCGGCCCCTCCGCGGGTGATAATGCTCCTGCCAAAATCTTGGAGACGCCCTAGGTGGGGCGCCTGGTGCCAAACAGATAACCAGCATTCAGAAGCAGCCACCACCTCCCCACCCGTCAAGGTGTGTGTGTGTGTGTGTCTCACACCTGACCTCTGGACTGAGCTGACCTACAGCCAGGGCCCAGCCCTGGCCACTCACAGGATGGAAAATGTGAGCCATTGCAAGAGTTTCTGCAATAACAACAGCGGGGGTGTTAAACACAGCCTATCCATCAGAACAGAGCTGGAAGGGACCTTGGAGGTCATCCAGTCCAACCCCCTGGTTCAAGCAGGAGATCCTCTATCATTTCAGATAACCTCCAGTGATGAATAGAATAGAAAATTAGAACAGAATAGAATAAACAGAGCTGGGAGGGACCTTGGAGGTCTTCTAGTCCAACCCCTGTTCAGACAGGAGACCCTCTACCATTTCAGACAAATGATTATCCAGTCTCTTCTTAAAAGCCTCTAGCTGGTGGCAGGTTGTTCCACTGGTTAATTGTTCCGTCAGGAAATTTCTCCTTATTTCCAGGTTGCTTCTCTCCTTGATTAGTTTCCATCCATTGCTTCTTGTCCTGCCCTCTGTTGTTTTGGAGAATAGGTTGGCCTCCCTCAAATATTGGAAGGCAGCTATTATGTCTCCTGTAGTCTTTCTCTTCACTAGACTGGCCAAACCCAATTTATGTAACCGTTCTTCGTATGTTTTAGTCTCCAGGCCTTTAATCCTCTTAGTTGTTCTTCTTTGCACTTTTTCCAAAGTCTCAACCTCTTTTTTGCAATGTGGGGACCAAACTGGATGCAGGATTCCAGGTGTGGCCTTACTAAGGATTTATCAAGAAGTACTAAGACTTCACCTGATTTTGGTTCTCTGCCTCTGTTTGTACAACCAAGGATGTTGGCTGAATTGGGTTGGGTTTGCACTTTGCACTAAGTCAGGAAACTGCCCGTTGCAATTAATGGCTGTGATTTTGGTCCTGTTCCTCGGTTTATACAACCAGGGATTGTATTCTGGACTAAAGACTGTCCATATGTTTAGAACTTTCTTTCGTTCCGTCAGAGTTCATTTCTGGCCATTCAACTCTTGAGGCTTTGAATTGCTTGGATATTTTCAGGCCAAGGATTCAATACTGAGATTCAAACAAATGTCCCATATTTCCCATTTTCCCGTGCCATGTAATGGCTGTAGATTTGGCACACTGACACTGAATCCTTGATTTACAACCATTCATTTAGTGACTGTTCAAAGTTACAATACTGAAAAAAGTGATTTATGACTATATTTTTCACACTTACGACTGCTTCAGCATCTTCACAGTCACTCGATCAAAATTGGGGCACTTGGCAACTGACTCGTATTTATGACGGTTGCAAGTTCCCGGGGTCATGTGATCCGTTTTGTGTCCTGACAAGCAAAGTCAACGGGGAAGCCCGATTCAGTTAACAACCGAGTTACCAAAACCTGCAGTGATTCATTTAACAAGCAAGGCAACAAAGGTCGCAAAACGGGGCAAAACCTGCTTAACAACTGTCCTGCTTAGCAAGGGAAGTTTTGAGCTCAATTGTGGCCGTATGTCGAGGACTGCCTGCGTTTAAGTCAGCAATTGCCACATAGTGGAACATTTGTGTGTTGTATCCTGGACAAGCTGAAAGCACGTTGTTTATTTGCACAAACGGCTGCAGGATACACAACCCACAATAGTTCTCCACCTGCCACAACTGACCTTATCAAACTTACATATTCCATCTGTCTACCTTTCCAGGCCAGGTGTTTCTTTGTTTATTCCACCTTTTTCAGCATGTTTTTGGAGAAGGTGCTGGCATCCAGAGGTAAAAGAAAAAAATCCAGGGGGAGGTGTGGCCCGAAAGCAGCGGAAGGCAAATCATCCATAAAATGCCAAGAATGCAACTTGGGGATTGTGCGGCCAAAGTCTCTTTGTTCACACATCTCACCCTGCCAGATGGTATCCTGATCCCCCCCCCCTCCGTTTTCTTTTAACTTGCCTTTCTCATCACAACTTTTGTCTATTTGAGTTTATTACCGTGCTTGGGTTGGTATTTTGGTGGGCAGAGGGATTGGAAGGCAG